TTAGAAGGAACCACATCAAAGATCTCTGAGGAACAAAGACTAAAGGGTGTGGAAATGGAACTTTCTGGGACTTTCTAAAAGAAGCAACAAGACAAGTGGGGAGGTTCTGAGCAGAAAGCAGGAGAGAAGACAGTAGAATAAATCCAACTCTTAACTCGAGGCCATGGAGTTGTTGGAAGCGTTCTACCGCAGGAAGCTCAGGAAGAAGCAGAAGAAATCGGAGCTGGGTCGGTCGGACGGGGCGCTGTGTCGGTCGCCGTCGGAGGCCAGCGTCAACGGCCTGGCGACCGGCCTCATCTCCAAAGTCCTCAGGTTCACCTCCAGGTAAAACACGAGACTTACTCAGTCAGAGACAAACGCTCACGAAAAGAGGTCCAGATTTAGGTTTTGTTCCAGGTCAAGACTGCAGAGTGATGCCAAAATTATGCTGAAACAACAGCAGCACTACTTATATAGTTTTGACAAAAAATTAACTGCACAACAATAATACTGGCAGCACAAATATGTTTGACTAGTTTAAAATATTAGAAACAAGAAAACCATTGTAGATGTTTCCATTTTCTAGTGACTCGTGATATTTATGAGGGGAAAATGAAGCTTGGACATGATATTTAGGACTTTTAGGATTCAAGCATAAACCTGGTGACTAAAGCATGACATTTGAAATTTGGAAATGTAACATTGAGATGACCTTGATGGCTGGGATGTGATGTTTTTGGTTTAGGCTTGACACTTAAGTATTGGACAGAACCTTCTTGACCCCTGGACACGACCATAAAGTCTTGTAGACATTTGTGACTTAGATGAAACCTTTAAGATTCTGACTTGACATTTGTAACTTGGACATAACAATGAACACTGACTTGAACGTAACATTTAAGCTTTACATTTGTAACTTCGAGTTGCACGGTGGCCTGTTGGTTAGCACCGTTGCCTCGTAGCTAGAACATCCCCGGTTCGTGTCCCAGTTAGGATCTTTCTGTTTGGAGTTTGCATGTTCGACCCGTGCAGCGTCGGTTCTCTCTGGGTTCCTTGTCTTTCCCCGACAGTCCAGAAACATGCTGAGGTTAATTGGTGATTCTAAATTGTCTGTAGGTGTGAATGTGAGCCCTGTGTAGCCCTGTGATAGACTGGCGACCTGTCCAGCTGAACCTGCCTTTGCCCTGAGTTGGCTGAGACAGGGACCCTTATGAGGATTAAGTGGTGTATAGATAATGGATGGATGGATTAGTGACTTGGACATGACTTCAGTTCAGACTCAATCATAACCTTGATGACCTAAGGACATCACACTTGTCAATGACTTTTTTGACTTGGACAAAACCTTTAGCACTCTGACTTGACATTGGTGACTTGGACATGACATTTGACACTCCAACTGCTTGGACACAGTCTCAGTAACTTGACTGTACTAACATGGGCAGGACATTCATGACACTCTTACATAAGCTGGGGTGACTTGAACTCAACATTTAAGACTTGTAGATGGCATCAGTGGCTTGGATTTAACCCTGGTATTTCAGACATGGTGCCAATGACTTGTACATAACTTCAGCAACTAGAACCAGGTGTTTTTAACGCGGACATCAGACACAACTTCATGAATTTAGACATGACTTTGGTAACTCGGGCTGGACATTTATGACTTGTATCTCACATTTACGACTCAGACACAACCTTGGTGACCTACAGATGTGACATTTGAAACTTGTACATCACCTCAGTGTCTTGGACAGAGTCTTAGTGTCTCTCTCAGTGACTTGAACTTGACATTGACGCATCCTGCAAATGACACTGTCAGCGATCACAAAACCTCAGTGAGGTGAACTTTAATCAGTTCCTGTTCTATTGTGAGCACAGAGCTGAAGAGTACAAAAAGACGCTTTATCAGACTTTAAAATCAGACTTGAATCTGAAACACAAGTCAAAATAAGCCACAGTGCACTCGAGCCGGTCCTCCCAGAGTTAACGGAGAGAATATCTGTCTAAGTGCAACAGCGATGATAAAGTGTTGAGGTATTCCAGCCACGTCCTGTCATTACCCAGGTTCCTTTGGTTCAGGCTTTCATGTCTGTGCCTCCTACTTAGTCCGATAAAATCACTTCCTGTTTATCTCTGAGCATAAATACAGAGCAGCGGGATATGTCAAATATCACGAGGATAGCTGCTGCGCTCGCCAACGTCTCCGTTATCACCGCTGGTTTGATAACACGTTCAGAATGTCATGATGTGATGTCATAAAGATTACCAACATAAACAAAAACACATGATTTTATCCCTGAAGCAATGCTGCCATTTTTTAAAAACCAATTATTTACCTCGTTTTAAAACAAACTGAATTAGATAAAGAAAGATTAGAATTAGGGGCAGAATGAGGGATTGTGAAAGTGCCAAAGAGGTAAATAGGAATAATAATACACAATGAACGTTACGGCTGGAAAAGCACCATTGCAACTGTTCAAAAGCAACCTGAGTTTCGTTTGTCCACACTGAGGCGATGCGGTGGTTTTGTAATGTTGTTGGGGCGTAGCGCTGCCATGGTTTGGGTCCATTTATCTCATTGAAGGAAAGAATCAGTGCAAATCAGCACAAAGTTGCTCTAAATCATCACCTTTATCCAGTGATGAAATGTTTCTGTCTCCACCATGTCTGATGCTTTGTAGATAAAAGCCTGCCGTTGATCGTACTCTTCACGCAGCTTCTTCTTCTCTTTCTGTTATCTACACGTTATCTAAATCTCCTTCACCACGGGAAACCACAACAACAATCTCCAGGCAGCAACGTACCACGCCGACAGGTTCAGGTTTTGCCAAAGGTTTTGGTTGTGCAACAAAGCCGCCTTGCTAGTTTTTCACAGTAAATTATCCATTTTATTGATGGCACCCGCCTCTGTATTTGCAAATGTTTCACTAAAAACAGCTCGTATATCATTGTTTTGAGCACATGCCGTTCTTAACCCCACCCAGGACGACTGTTGTTGGTTTCAAGAAATACAATTAACACCTGTGGAAGATTTTGGACAACGTTCTCCACGACCATCCTCAAAATACCAAAGACCTTTTGGAGAACTGGTGTTCAACCCTCTAGTCTAGTTAGAGTTCAGAAAATCAATGCTACTCAGCGTTCAAGCTGTTCTGGTGGCCCAACACCTTACTGAGACACTTTGTGTAGCAGATATAGTTTGGTTTAATCACTAAATAATTACAGTTGCTTCTATTTTTACCATTTTTACTGTAAACATTATTGAAACTCAAGATTTCCTGCGGGCTGCAGTTGGTAGCGCTGTTGCCTCACAGCAAGAAGGTTGCCGGTTCACGTCCCGGTGGGGGCACCGGGATCTTTCTGCGTGGAGTCTCCATGTTCTCCCCGTGCAGCGTGGGTTCTCTCCGGGTTCTCCGGCTTCCTCCCACAGTCCAGAAACATGTTGAGGTTAATTGGTGATTGTAAATTGTCCGTAGGTGTGAATGTGAGTGTGCTTGGTTGTCTGTCTCTAAGTGTAGCCCTGTGATAGACTGGTTACCTGTCCAGGTGAACCTGCCTTGATAGACTCCAGTGAGGAGTGAGGATTAAGTGGTGTGTAGATAATGGATGGATGGAAGATTTCCTGCTGATATTTTAATTTGAAAGTTTTCCAGGAGAGGAAGAGGTTATACCAGAGGCTTTTAAAGTGAAGCAGTTTAATTTTCTGTAGTTTAACATCAAAGTAGAATCACCTGATGTGGAAGTTTGGATTATACAGTATTCACCAGACTCACCCTCACGTACTAAGACTTTATTTACTGGCTTCTCTGTGAGGATATCTGGGTTACTGATGCCATTAGCATTGAAATTAGCTGTAAAACTGCTTGAAACTAACGTCTGAGCAAAACATTTCCCTCTATTTGGTTGCTTTTAAGCGTATTATTCAGTGTTTTCTGATGCAGTCATTTGCAGTGTGATGATGAGACCGACGTTGAAGGTGTTTTGGGGTTTTACAGGAAGGGAGATGCAGAGACAGGCAGAAGGTGAGTCAGATTTTCGTGGAATGAGACCGTGCAGCTGGAAGTGTGTGGGAGGACAAGCCGGGTTAATATTTAATGCTGAAACGATCACTTTTCTGTTTCCAGCTCTCATAATAAACTCTGTGCTTGATTCCCTGAAGGGGTTTAGGATGTCTAATGGTTCTGTGAATGACGGTCTGTGCAGGATGAAAGAGGACAAACATGGTGCAGAAATAACAACCATGACGGTGAATGTTAGACAGGAGGCAGTTTTCTGCAGAAGAACCCTCCGGCATTTACGTATGAGAAGCACAATAAGTGCACTGAAACTCCACAAGAACAAGAGTGACGTTATCAAGATGTTGCCGTCTTTTATGAAATCACTGTTTTGCATTTATTATTTTCTTGCAGATGAGCATTTAAGGGAATGTTGACATGATAACTACCATAGGTTAGCATCTGGCCATCTTGAAGTGTGCAGCTGACCCTGACCAGTTTGTCGGACAGTGTTGACCTGAGTCACAAACTGGGAAAATTTTAGAACAATCAAGATCATTGAGTTCAGTTTCACTGGCCACCAACCAAACGCTGCAAAATCTGGAGTAAACTTTGGGCTTTTTGGGCCCATGGGCAGTTATTTTGTGTAAATTTTAACAAGCTAATGTCTCTAAACCTTTTCTTTTTTTCCCTAAAATTGACCAAATTTGAAGACATTTAGTTCGTCCAAAATCCCAGAAACTTGAACCTCAATACAACCCTCCTACAGATAGGAAACGGTCTTTTCTGGTGACATCTTATATGCATAAAAGCAAATTAAGCTCTTTTTTGCTCTAAAATACAAAATAAAAATGTTTTTTTGTTGTTGTTTTTTAACCAATCCGTTGGTTTCGCTTTACTCCAGTGTCACTTATTGTGATTTTAAATGTCATTTCACTTCCTGTACAGATAACTTACCTGAGTTTTACACCAGGATGTCCAGCGCTGCACTAAATCGCTCTCTGATGTGTTTAAACCCGACAGACGCACTGAGCCGTCGTCCCGGCCTCACTCGTGGCACTCGACGAAGCTCGGCGATGGTCGGCCGGAGCTGGACCCGGCGGCGATGGACACGATGAGCAGCGCCTGGCACCACAGCTACCACGCCAGGTCAGAGTCCGAAAGACAATCAGTAATCACTGGAAATCTGATTTAGAACTCGTTTGTATTCTCAGCTGTTGACTAAAGCAGTTTGAGCTACACGCTAACATCAGCATGTCGACATTCGGAGGCTTCACAGTGCGCCATCGTAGTTTGGTAAATTATCAAACTTACATTTCCTAAGAAACACAAAACTGAAGCCGGCTGAGGCTCCTTGCCATTAGTTTTGAAATGATTTTGGCCATAAGTGCAGCGATAGCTCCCAAAGAAACGACACCAATCTCCTCCAAACTAAGATTTACGCCTCCAAAGTGGGTCTGGAAATATAAACGGTGCCCATATTTAAGAAATAACTTGTGAGCTTGTCAGGCGTGAACCCGTCTGACCTCCAACGCTTCCAGCTGTCTGAAAAGATGTTTGGAAGTCTGGATTGTAGGTTCGCCGCTATCAGTCGGAGGGTCAAAGTTGACGTTTCCAGACACTCTTGTAAAGTGTTATCTCGGACCAACACACTCTGGTCAACAGTGATAACACAACAACACAGGACGGATGAACTTCTCACATGCTGGTGAACCCTTTAAAATGAAGCCTGCTTCCATGAGCCATGGCAAACATTTGGTTTTTATTAAATCATAAACGGTTTTGAATGTTTGGAGCCTGTTTTATGAGGAAAAAAGATGTAAAGAGTCGCTATGAGGAGCTGCTTCTCAAACATGACCTTTGACTTTGATCCTAAAAGTTCATTTTTATATTCGTTCACAACATTTGCCAGAAACTTATTGGGTCCCAACAGTTGAATTATTAGACACTGAAGTACAACAGTTGATAATCAAAAAATAAAGACAGAGTCTTAGTCATGCAAGTGAAAACTGAACTTTTTTAGAACCAGTTTATAAGAGATTATAAGATTGCAAGAACATCTTTGTAAAGTTAGAACATTGTGAAGAATGAAGGCCTTTTTGGAAAAGTTAGGACATTTTTGACCTTTCTTTCTGAACTTTTTGGAAATTTATGAACCTTTTGAGCAACATTTTAGAAACTACACTTTTGGACAGTATTTTCTAAAGGATTTATAAAGATTGATGCATTTTTTTTTGGCTGTGAAGGCTTTGTGAAGGTATAAATAATGTTTAAATAGACACGTTTAAACATGTTTAACCAGCGACAAACTGGTAAGACAAGGAGGACAACGTTGGAAAGTGAAGAACCTTTTGGCATTTGTCTTGAAGAGCTTTTATAAAGATGCATTCTTTTGGTGTGAAGGCATACAAAAATGTTTTTAGAGAAACTTCCTGGAAATTAGCGGCACTTTTTGGAAATAGAAGAAGTTAGAAAATCGGGATGTTTTTCAAAGTGAAGAACTTTTGAATTGACATGTTTAAACGTGTTTTTGACCAGTGAGGGGAGTTTTGGAGACCATGAATGTGGTGACATTATGGAAAATTAAAACATGTTTAGACAAAAACTAGTTAGAACAGATCGACTTTGATATTTGAAGACAATTTAGGACGTAAAGACACTTTTGGAAAGTGAAGAACCTTTAGAAGATAAAGGCGTGAGGAATCTTTAGGGACATTTTAGAAAACTGAAGATAATTTTTTTTAAAAAGGGATGATTTGGAACTTGGGAAACTTTAAAGAAGACGTGGACGTATTTTTGAGGGGAAACACAGTCAGTTTCTAAAACAGACAAGTTGTTGGAAAATGAGGACAGTTTTGGAAATGAGGAACCCTTTAGAGACGTAGTGATGTTTCTGGAAAGTAAAGAACTTTTTGGAAATTGGTGGTAATGTTTTGAATGCGAGCACATTATTAAAAATGCAGGAAACATTTTGGAATATTTAGGGACAAGTGAAACTTTTGGGAAAATGCAAACTAGAATCTATACATAGAAACTATGTCTACAAAAGTATAGCTTTGAAATCTGTACTTTTGGACAACTTTGACATTTGAAGACATTTTAGGACATAAAGACACTTGTGGAAAGCGAAGAAAAGTAAATAAGATGAATGCAAATGACTGGTTTTTGAAAAAGAGAAGCGTTTTTTGGAAATTAAAGAACCTTTAAGGACAATAAGGACATTTTTGAAACTACTTGTAAAAAGCGATTTGCTTTTAGGAAGACGTTGACGTATTTTGTAGGAAACACGGTCACTTTCTAAAACAAACAGGAAGTTGTTGGAAAATTCAGTTTTGGAAAATGAGGAACCAGTGTGAGACGTTGGGACGTTAATATTTCTGAAGGTGAAGAACTTATAAGAAGACATTTATGAGACTCTTAAGAGATGTGAACGTTTTGGGGACAAACGAAGACAGTTTCTCAAACAGACAGTAAGAATTCAGGAACCCACTGGAGACGTGAGGACATTTCAGTAAGCAGCGATATTCCTAGAAAGCGAAGAACCTTCAAGAAGGTTCCTCTTTGAGAGCGAGGACGTGTCGTCTCGGGGTTTTAATGAAGTGCATCGTTTCCTGCTAACATTTATGCCGTTTTTCCACAAACTGGTGGGTAAATATTTAGCGCTGCTGTGTTTTCTGTGAAGCTGCCGGTCAGGAGGAGCTTTGACGTCTTTGCCCACAGAGAGCGAGACATTCCTGGGGTCCCTCCCCCTCACCTCTGGGTCTCCCATGGCAACTCCCACCATCCATCCACCCACACACACTCACACACACACACACACACACACACACACACACACACACACAAACACACATTTCTGACCAAAGTTTCTCGTTCGCAAAGCATCTAAACGTCACATTTTCAGCAGAGCAGGAGCGAGACCAAAGGCTGAGATCAGCTGACGGCGACTCTGAAACAAGCCGGGACGAGTTATTTAGCGACACAGAAACACAGACGGACTCTGTCCCGGTTTCCACAGCAGTTAATTGCATTGTGTTCGCTCGACGGACTTGGTGGGTCAAACTGTGACGTGGACACACATGCATGCACACACATTTACATTCCAGTCAGTCACTGGGACGGAGTTCAGCTGCACATCAGCAGCTTTTACAGCCGGCCGTTGTAAAGACGCTCGGCTCATTACGTCAAGGCTCCGGCACTTTTATCCGCCTCCTGTTGGAATAAGAGCCTGAGTCACTTTTAAAGATCTGTTGGTGCTCGGAGCCTGTTGGTCCACATTAAGACTGAACTGCAGCAGAACCGGGTCGAATAAATTCAGCTCAGAAAATTGTTTGCTCAATAGAAAAGCAAGATCTAAATATAATACATGGAAGTGAACTTAGCAAGCTAGAATAAGACTAGACTGGAAAAGCAAGAAGTAAAAAGACTGATATTCCAGCAGCTGGGGCACGAAGAAGAACTGCAATATAAGAGAAAATCAGAAATTAAAAAAAAAAAAATCAGGAAAAATGCAGTAATTTTCAGACATTTTCAAAACTTATTTTAAATTTTTTAATGTCTAATAAAGAATAATAAATGCATAAAGACTATTAAACCACCTACAACAGAACACCAGCGTCTGTAGATTTTTGTTGTGAAATCGTGCAAATATACAAAATTATTTAGTTTAATGAACAAATGTGTGTAAAATGTACAGAACCAGTGCTTCTGTTTCTGTTGTCTTCACTCCTTGTGTTTAAATGTTGAAATATATTTAAAGTATTAAACTTGATTTTAATGTTTGTCTATTAAATAAAAAGTTACATTTGCAAATATAATTTAATTTGTCTCCTTATGGCCAAAAAATCCACAAAGAACTCACAGTTATGGAGGTTTTATTGTCATTTTACATCAGATATGCGAATCTACAGTCTAGTGTTTTTTTTTGTTTTTTTTTTTACTTTTTATAAATATTTTTGCATATTTCACATGATTAAAAACATATTATAGATGAAATTAAAATGTTGCACCTAAAAAATGTAAAATATTGGACGTGAAACTGCCATTTTATACATAAAAAATCAATATTACACACGATGCTGCAACTGATATTACACAAACTATAGAGTAAAGTAATAGTCCAGATGACATTGATGTTATAATTCAGATTCATTTGTCCGATGTTTCAGCTGGTATTTCTGCAGAAAAGCAGTTTTAATCATCAGCTTAATAAACACTGTGAATAAAACATTTTTAAGTCGTTATTGTCATGTCAGATCGGTATGTATTAATGCTTTATGCACTTTGTAGGAAAAAAGTGGAAAAACTTTCACACGACTGTAATGACGTTCCAGCTGTGACTCGCATGAAGGAACAAAACAAGCGTCTTAAGATCTTCTCTTTCTGTGTCCTATACTCTATTTTTATCAAGTGAAGGAGGAAATATAATGCATGCAAGTGTACTTTCTTTCACTTTGGTGATTAATTACACTGCAAAACAAATAAAAATACGACACAGTTTGGGAGAAAACACTTTTCTTTTTGGTGGTTCTGCTACTTTCTAACTCCCTGTTTCTTCTCTCCTCCTCTCAGTGCCTCGACCACCGACCTGTCCGGCGGCTTCGACTCCGGCGGCGGCGGCAGCGGCTACCTGAGGAAGAGCCCGGACCAGTACAGCTCCAGGGGCAGCATGGAGAGCCTGGACCCTCCCCAGTCCTCCCAGCTGCACTCCGGAGCTCAGCACCAGCATCCACTGGGTCACCACGGCCACGGCGGGTCCCACCACACCTACTCGTCCTGCCACCAGCTGTCCTCCGCCAGGTCCGTAGAACAACCGGTCATTCTGTCTCAAATCATCCAATTCTGATTCTTTCATCTCTGATTTGTCTGAAGTTTTAAAAGCATAAAATATGGATATTTATTTAAATGATCTTGAAACTCCAGAATTTTTTAGTTTTTTTGTTTTTGTGTTTCAACCTTTCTCACTTGGTTAGTCAGTTTTAACCGCTTAATCTGATACTCTTTGATTTTTTGGTTTACTCTTTCAGTTTTTGAGTTTGTGAGTTGGTGAGATGTTGCGGAATATTTGAGGTTTTTTTCTTTTTTTATTTTTCATATTTTGTTGTTTGTTGTTCATCCAGTTTCAGTTTTCGGTGTGAGCTGCTGCCTGTTGGTCGTGGGTTGATTTTTGATTTTTAAATTGTAGTTTCTTGTGTAGTATGTTATGTTTTGTTTTTGGTTTTCAGTTTTTAATTTTTCAGTCTTTATGCTTTCTGACTTTCTTTTCAATTAAATCAGAGATGGTCTAGCAGAAGGTCCGTGATGATTTGAGATGAACTCGCCGGTCTGTCCAGTGGCCTTGTAAATACATTTCAGTCATTGATAAGCTCTGAAGCTGAACCGCTCGTCGTGTTCCAGGTCGTCCAACAGCATCGACCACCTGCACAGCAAGCGGGACTCGGCCTATTCGTCCTTCTCCACCAGCTCCAGCATCCCGGAGTACCTCGCCTCCACCCCTTCGTTCAGCCCGGAGCGCTCCTATTCGCTGGAGACCGTCCCTCAGAGGGGAGGAGGAGGAGGAAGCGGGGAGATGCAGCAGGCCGACATGCGCTACATCCGGACGGTTTACGACGCCCAGCAGGGCCTCTCTCAGGAGCACGAGCTGAGCTCCACCTCCGCCGCCATGCTGCGCAGCACCGACTCCAGAGGCGGAGCGAGGCCGGGGCTGAGCCGAGACCTCCAGGGTAAAGTTTCTTCTTCAGGAGTTGCTCATGGGTTTGGTTATTTCAGTCTACGTCATCCTTTATGTTCTTGGTTCCAGGTTCAGGGGGCGGAGTCTGTTACCGTGGCAGCAGCAGCGGCAGCAGCAGCAGCAGCGGCAGCAGCGGTGGAGGCGCTCCAGCTGCAAACAGGCACAGCGTGGGTCCAATATGGGGCCCAGCCGCTAGCCGAAGTTCCTACGAGAGCCTGAAGGGGGCGCCCGCTCCACCGAGGCGCAGCGACAGCTACGCAGCCACCAGAAACCACGAGAGACCGAACTCCTGGTCCAGTCTGGACCACGCCAGGTCACTACGGTCAGTAGGGTCAACCCAAGAAAAGAATGATGTCATCCAAAAATAGACCAAACAATGATAACGATGATAAAACGCAGTAAAGAACACAAAACCTGGTCCGCTCTCAGCCCAGCCTGAATCCTAAAATATCTTTTTCTTACCTTTAATCTCTAATTAAGCAGCCGTCTTCTCCTGAAGTTGTGTAGGTGAGGTGTTGTTCTTAAAAGCTAAGAATTAGCTGTTCTTGTCTTTGCAGAATAACAAGTAAAATACAGTAAGCGTCATATTACGCTGTGATATTATGTGGAATGGTATGACACGCTGTAATGTCACACAATAAAGCCCCAGTGCTTAACACTAGAATACAATCACAATGAGATGGTATGTGATGGAATATACAGGACGATGTGATACGATACAATACAAAACAATACAATATGATGTAATACAATACGAGTCAGCATGATACAATGTAATATGATACAATATGATACAATTAAATGTCATAATTTGATACAATACAACGTAAAAAAATATATGATACGATACAATGTGGTATGATACAATATGATACAATATGATACAATATGAGACAATATGATGCACTTGGATACAATGTGATGTAATTTGAAACAATGCAATTCGATACAGTATGATATGATACAATAGAGTATATCCTATAATAAACAATATATTAGGACATGATGCAATATCAAAGACACAGTGTGTGATTAATTCAGTTCGGTGCAATATAATATGCTCCCTACATTACCGTCCACTTCAATACAACACAATACAATAGGATGCAAAGCTCTGCAATGCAATTTTTTGTTTGTTTGTTTTTTACAAAAAGTGGTTGGTCACCATGCTGCAGTGAAACATCCAGTCTACATTCCAACTGTTGTTGGAAAATGTGATGCACTTTTGTTAAATAAAAGTCACTTAAGCTGATTTAATTTTGTCTAATCTACTGTGTTTTACTCAGATCTCTGCAAAAAGGTTCCTGGCATCACTCCAGCGGCCCCGTTGCCTCAGGTAAAGCTTAATTCCATCTCCATGGTCGTACTGGAAAACAGAAGGGACTCCAACTACACCATCTACTTCTGCTCTACCAGTTGAATGTGTTGAAATAAGTTCAGAAGGTTCTCAAAATATAGAAACAGAGAAAAAATGTAAAACTGATTGTGCATATTTAGTTTGTAAAGAGACAAGCACAATGGCTAATTATGTTTCTCACCAAAAGGTTGTCTTCCTGATGGCTTTTTTTTACTGCATAGAAGAGAAAACTGACGTCATTTCTGTGGTTCCAGCTAAAGGCTCGTACGGCGCTGAGGGTCAGCTCCACACAGTGATAGAGAAGAGTCCGGAGAGCAGCCCCACCACAAAGCCCCGGCAGGGCGGAGGCTTTCCCCAACCGCCCTCCCCTACTGGAGCCTCCTTGGCAGGCTCCCCTCCCCAGTCCAACCGCCTCATTCTTCCCACGGGCGTTTACCCCGTTCCCCAGCCTGAGCCACACTACGCACAGATGCCCAGCTCCAGCCCCGGCCCCTCCGGAGTCTACCCGGCCCTGGCCAAGGAAAGCAGCCGGCAGCAGCAGCAACAACAAGGGCTGCAGGGTGTCGCGGGGAGGGATGAAGGAGCAGCGGAGGGCCGGAGGGATGGAAGGACGTCAGCTGCTGAAAATGGATACCAAAATAGCACTTCTTCATCGCATCCCCACTCCTCTTATTCAACATCTGCCTCTGCACAGCTCAGGACTCAGGCACACGAGGCAGACAGGTGAGGATTTTTTTTCACTGATGTATTAACCAACTGGCATTTAAGCTAATTAAAACACCTTAAACCAGGCTATTGCACTGTTTGAGTGTCAGATTGTCCACAAATACTTTTCAACACATTTCTATAACAACTGTTTCTTGCAAAAATATGACTAAATGCACAATTTTAATGTTGGCACGCAGATGCTAAGTCAGTAGTCCTACACTGTTATGCTAACTCAGTCTTGTGCTTTCATTAGGCATCAACACGACGAGTCTAACTTTGGACCCTATAGACAACAAATAAAAACTACTGGAGGAGGATCAGATGTCCAGACTGTGGCTCAAAGTCCTCAAAACCACCAAGGAGCATACAATCAGAGCGAATCCCATTTTCATACAAGCAAAGGACCCCACAGCCAAGTGTACCGGGACCAGAACCAAGATTTTCATATTCTGATGCAGTCGACCCCTGACCTCAGGCCCCTCTCCTCACAAGACAGGAGCGACCCCTACTTCCCTGGCCATTCCCGGGGAGACCGAAGCAGGTAGGAAAGGATCAGGGATAGGTGTCATGGGTTAGTGTCGAGTCAGGGTCCTTCATCTGTCAAAGTTGTTCAACAGTCTGATTTCATATTTCTTATCAAAGCAACTTCCATGACAGTTGGTCAGTTCACCCAGTGGTTGGATATACTCTGTTTATCAAGAGAAGTCAGTTGATCCCTCCTGATCTCTGTCCTCTTGCCCCTTGTTTTCTCCTCCCTCCCTTTAGATCGATGGACCAGAGCAGTGTTCATTCAGAGCCAGTGACATCTCCCAGGCTCGCCCAGGGACAGGTGCACCCTGGCCACTTACCTGTTCACCCTCAGCCTCAGGCTCCGCCCACCGCCGCCTCGCACACTTCACCCCGTCACTTTAGTGACTCAGCAGCTCTGCAGTACCAACAGTGGGATCACCGAGAGCAGGACAAAGATCGAGAACACCCGCTGACCCGTCTGGAGATTGCGCTCGCCGAGGTCCAGCGATGCGCCAGCCCCGACAGTGTTGTCTCCGCCAGTAGCCACGGCAACAGTAGCTTTAGCGATGGTACCCAAGGGCCCGCTCGCAGCCTCTCCGTTTTGGAGAAGGTCAGTCGTTTTGAGCGCCGGGAACGTGCTGGAAAGCAGCGCAGCCACAGCACCAGCAACAACCCACACAACAAAGCCACGCATCTGCGGGTAAGTCAAACTGAAATATAAATTTGTGATCACCTTGTTTTATTTTGATGATTTGCAAAGTAGCAATGTTGTAAACGTGTAGCAGTAAAATCAGTAAGACGGACGTAAATGCAAACACAGACGGCAGGCAGGTTTGTGGAAAAAATACATTTTAAGCAAATAAACCTACTTAACAGAGACAAAAAGTCCATACCTAAGGAAACTAATCCACAGAAACAAAATCCAAAACTGTACAAAAACTTGTGAGCATGAGGTATGCAAACAGGTAGGAGGAAGGGAGGAAGCAACACACTACGAAAGGGGATTTACTAAATAAAATAGGAAATTAAAGTAACCGGAACCTGACCATGACAGTAGCTTTCTGACCTGTCAAGTTGTCTTCATTCCAAACGTAACCAACCTCCTATAACTTGCTCCTTGTTAGCTGTTTTACTGCTTACCTGCTTGATGTTTTCTGATCTTTAATCAGATGACTGATAAAGGCCGCAGCAGCCCCTGTGGAGCAGAAGACCTCCGAAACATGCTGGAGAGAAGCACCAAGGGAACCAAAGCCCACCGGACCATGAGCTACAGAGGCGGCAGCAGCGAACACATGAAATACAGGTAGAAGAACTGTTAATACAACTGTAGATATAAACATATCGGTGACAACTTTTTTTCTTGGATAAAGGCACTTACATTACTATGTGGTTTTCAGAACTCCAGCCGATCCTAATTCGGCCCTTCAGAGGAGCAGAAGCACCTTCCAACTGGATGGATCTAGGGAAGGAGAGAGCAGCAAAGACTTTCCCTGGAGACAGGAAGTCCAAGAGATCTTTGTCCCCATGCAGGACACATCCTCCAACAGGTCAGTCCTTCAGCAGGTCAGATTTCTCCAACGGGACAGGATTCTTCAACAGTTGAGGGTCTGGTCAGCATCCTTTAGCAGTTCAAACTTCTCCAGCAGGTCAGAGTCCTTCAATACATAAGGGTCCTTCGGCAAGTCAGAGTCCCTCAGCAAGTTAGGGTCCTTTAGAAGGTCTGAGTTCTCCAGTAGTTCACAATCTTTCAGGATGTAAGATCCCTCAGTAGGTCAGAGTCCTTTTTTAGGTCAGAGTCCGTCAACAGGTCAGGGTTGGACAACATTACGCTCTACCAGGCCAGTTTTGTTTGATCCTGATGTTGGAAACTTGTTTCTAATCAGATCTTACAGGGACTCCTTGAAAGACGCCCAGACTCATGTCCTACGATCCACCTCCTTCAGACGACGAGACCTCAGCTCCTCGGTCAGCCCCCCACCTCCTGCAGCTCCTCCTACTGTCCCCTCCACCAGCAGCCAACAGCCTCCACCTGTCCCTACCAAGTACCACTCCCTGGAGAAAAAAGCCCCCAAAACAATGCCTAAACCACAGGGCATCGTCATCACACCACAGTCCATATCCATACCTCCGGTCACTTCCCCTCACACCCCAAAGGAGAGGCATGTGGTCAGTCCCGATGTTCGAGGCTCGAGCCCACCAGCCCTCCCCAGTGTCCCACCAGTTGGACCCCCAGGACTGATGCGGATCTGTGGCCGCAAGCGTCTGACGGCAGACCAGAAGAAGCGCTCATACTCAGAACCAGAAAATATGAACGAGGTTGGAGTTTCGGATCCTGAGACTGCTGCCCTTTTCCGTCGTGGAGGAGGTAAAAAAACTCTACACCTTTCTGCTGCCCTGACCAAACTATTCTAATACCTGTCTTAGGTCTCCACTTCGTCAAGTCTTTATTGCAAATGAGAGTTATTAAAGACAAAATGTTGTAAATTTGCTGGCTAAGAGTCATAACAGTTTATTTGGATCCGGAAATTATTTTGAAAGGCTGATGTGGCCCATGGCAGAGCTGGCATCACCAGCAAGCTAGCTTTAGCTTTTGCACTATGCTCACTAGTTTTGGGAATATCAGTCTGAGCGTAGAACCGAGATACCCTTAAGTGCGCAGCAAAATACCTCTTTAGCATCAGCTATGGAGGCCTAACCAAAAACTAGCATCAGTTTTCTGTAAGATTTATAATCACATCTGCAGATTTAAATCAATTTTTAAAAGTATTTTATTTATAAAAAGCTCTCCTGCTTTGTCTTCAGGCTTTGGAGAGAGAATTGTTCTGGTATTGCTAAAGAATCTGGGGTGCTGTTCTGGCAACAGTGTTGGAAACATTGCAAAGAATACCCAGCCCTTACACAACAATGATCTTTTTTAAACTTAAACAGAAGTTTTGCATCACATAAGGTCTTTTGACAGTTGAGGCCTTTGCCTGGAAGACAATGAGTTGAATGAAATGCCAGTATTGCAGTCAGTAGTTATCAAGTACGGCAGATCAGAAAACAGGCCCGTTTAACCACCATATATATTCCTTATCTCCCGGTTCACCAGAAACCAGCGTGGCAGACCGACGGAAGATGTTTGAACTTGTGGCAGGTCGTGTTGGTGGCGGAGCTCCTCAGAACCCCACGTCAAGGCCCGACCTACGGCAAGTTCAGCAAGACGCCCTCGCCGAGTACATGGAGAGGAAGCGAGGTGTAAAGAGAGACGAGGGAGGGCCGAGGAGTGGATCGAGGCCTCGCAGTGCTTATATACAGCCTGATAACAGCAACCATACAGGTGGGTTCAGGTGCAGGGATGTGTCGATGACGGAGGGTTGAGTGAGGGTTGTGGTTTCAAGAAAGGATGAAGCATAAATGGCAGGTAAAATAAATATTTAAGTGAGAGGATTTGGTAGATTAGTGCAGCGTTCCTTACTTTTGTTTCTCTCTTTCTTTATCTCTCCCTACTTGTTTTCAGTCTCGTCCAGTTACTCGGACACCCTCAGCCTCTCCTCCACCTCCAGCATGCTCTCCCTCCAAGACTCTGGCCTAGATCGAAGCTTCTCCTCTGCGGAGAGGCGTGTCTCCTCAACCCTCCCTCCTGGAAGTGACCTTCGGAGCTTCCAGTCCAACCTTTTCTACCCAGGCAGGGTGACCACACCGAGGCTTCCAGTGCAACCACCGCCTAGGTAACCCAAATCAGACACCAGCTGCATCTAGCACTGGTTTATAATCAGTAGCAATCTGACTTTAGGGATGGGTTTTGTCAGTCGATCATGGTTCCCTGGAAGACGCCTGATGACTTTGGTGGTCTGCCTGACTTCTTCTTGTTTTCTCCTTTCAGTTCCCCTCCTGCCTCCATTCTTGAGCTCCTGACCCAGGATCTCACCGGTGAAGCAGGGATTGGCAGACACAGTCAGTCTTCCAGTAGAGAACCACAGCCGGGCCATGAGCGGCAGATCGCAGAGCCTCAGCTGAGCCTGGGACTGTCTAAGCAGCTCAATGGGGCTCTGCAGAGGGCCGGGTCAGCTCGGAGGTCCGGAAAATCAGCCTCTGCCGAAGATCTCCTGGAGCAAACCAAGGACCGACAAGTTTCTCCTCAACACAGCCGCTCTCGCTCGTCCCCCACAGCAGAGAGACTGAACCAGGTAACACAACCCTCCACGATCTCACAGCAATTATTGTGAGCAAAAATAACAGAAATTTGAATTTGTTGACGTATTGTTTTTAGTTGAGTTTATGTGTGCCAGTTTTGCATTAATCATTTAGAACTGTCCTGTTTTCACAAAATTAGATGTTCAGAATATGAAAGCGCTTTGTGTCTTCGTAGATTCTTAATAGTCTTGGTCAGGTAATTGTAGGAGCTTCTGTAAAAAGCAACCAGACTCATCCAAAACTCTCCTTCAGTTCTAACTGTCTGATGGGGAGTTTCAGACGAATATAGACCCACCCAAATCACATGACTAATTATCTATTAATAACCCAAAACTTACATGCCTTGAGGTGTGATTGGTTGCGAAACTGCCGAGTATAACAACAATGGTAATGAAGCTGCCAGATTGGGAGTGACTCAAGATGCTGGTTCTGGCCAGCGATCTCAGCACTGCGTTATAGGTGCTTGATAGTTGGTGTTGTTGACCCCCTCCTCTGTTTAGAGATGGCTGTTTTTGTTTAAAGCAGATGGCTTCCTTCACTTTTCTCTCAAACTGCCATTCTTCTTTGTCCAGAATGTAAACATTGCTGTCCTCAAAGCAGTGTCACTTAACTTTCAGATGTAAGTAGACTGCTGAGTGTTGTCTTGAGGGGCTGACCCCCCACTGTTGAGCAATGCTCTTGTGTGAGAGGAGTAAAGGAAGCCATCTATGTTAAACAGGAACAGCCACCTCTAAACAGAGAAGGGCTCTAGGACACCAATTATCAATCACAGAAAATACAGCGTTTAGATCTCTCCCAGGAAAGTTTCATGACCATCTTGAGTCACCCCGCCCTGGCAGCTCACAAGCATTGTTTTTGTTGATGATGGTGAAGTAGGATTAGAACCAGTCTAATGTACCATCCTGAGATGCCAGAGGTCAGCATGCCAAGGCCTTTGCTTGCCACCTGTCCTCAGGTAGGGAGCTCTTTGCTGCGTTCCCATTGGACAAAGCTGACTCACCAGATACTTTCCGTCAATGCCCCCCTCCGAACCCTGAACCCTAGCCCTTAGGAGGCTACGGTTTCTCTAATCCAAAGGACGTAGCAGCGTTCCAAGGTAACCCTGCTCTTAGTGTGGCCTGTCCCCTGGACCAATTGACCTTGAACGACCAACAACACAGTCCCAGAACCACAGGGACAAACAACCCCCTCTTCCACATTAAGGTGATTCTCAGAGGGACTTGCCCATAGTGACAGGAGCCAACACTTCTTCTTGTCAACAGGGGACACCTGAAGGGTGCCTCGCATTGGACGTTTTGGGGAACATCCAACTGGTAGATGTTGGGGTTCACCTAGAGCACACTTGAGAGATTATATAACTCATCTACCCTGGACACCCCTCAAGATCCCCCAGTGGGAGGTGATAGTGGGTAGTGGGATGTCTGGACTACCTCGTTTAGCTGCTGTCATGACCCTACTTTGGACAGGCGTTAAGGTGTCATCAGACTTTGTGTACAAATGTTTGGTTGTCCTTAATAAAACATTCTAATAGTCCAAGATGCAAAGCAAGTAATAACAGTAACATCTCCCAAACACTTCGATGCCTCCAAGAGGTACAAAACAAGACAGTTATCTGTTCCCTATTTGCTGTCTTTGGTTATGTAAACTCTAGGACGGGGAGCGAGAAACAGTAATAAAATAACAACACTGTTTGTCGATGTTGTTCTAGACGGATAAACCACAGACCACGTTCAGGCTGATTTCAAACTACATCATTCATTTGAACTAGGTCAGTCTGGTGACACAGTGGTTGTGCCAAAAAAGAAATTAAAATTAAAAGTTTGTCCAGAAAAGTAACTCAAATTCCCAAAGTGGAGCCGCTACAGTGACCAATCGAACACGTCATGAAAGCATTATTTTGCAATTCTGACAGTTTCCTGGTCTCGTCTCGTTGTATTTTAACCTACCGAGCAGTTTTGTTTTTTTCAGCATCTGATGAACCTTAACGTGGTCCTGTTCCTCAGATGCCAAAATCAGAAATCTTCACCACACACAGTTCACAGGCCACTTTGGATTTCCATGTACTTGATGACATTTTGTCCTGAGTCACACAGGAAATACCCAGAATCCTCAGAGTTTCCTGTGAGGTGCCAGAGAGCCGGAGATGGTGGCTGGGCGCTGTCCGATGTGGATGATAGCAAAGATAACACACATGTATATACATGCACATACATCATACGTGCGCTCACCGGCTTCGTAAAGGAAGGCTGTAAAGGACGAATTTTGCCTTTTATCGTCTTCCATCATCGGAGCGGCCCGCGTCGCATAAACATCGTTACAGTTCAGTCTTACTTTATACAGTAGATCTCGGGGCAGGGCGTCGACGGTCCTGCTTTTATAAAACATGATAAAGCTTGCAGCTCTGTGCAGGAATGGCAGACCTACTGCTGTGTTTCAGTGTGTGATAAGGTCGGACATGTGATGCCACAGTCTGGAGATGCTCTTTAAATGGCACAGAAACCGGAATAATTAGCAGTTATAGCGAGTCTGGATTTATGTAGTCCCCAAAAAAAGGGATTTGCAAGCGAGGAAGCCCCTTTATCAGATGGAGATAAAGCTGCTGTACACACTGTGGTTTGTGGAAACAGAATAATTTGTAGTTGCAGGGATGAAACCAAACGCTTGTCTGTGTTATTGTGCAGTTCTTCACTGTGATAGTTACGAGATCTGATGGGTTGTTGAGGAATTGCGTCGGGATAAGATTAGGTTTTTTTCCCAGGCAATTTGGTCAGTGCATCAAAAAAACAACAAATATACACAAGTTAAGGCTTCTGGTTAAACTCCCTTAATTAACCAAAAACCAGTGAACGTAGAAGTTTAACTTCTCAGAAAGATTCACAGAAACAACCACTAGAGTTTTCAATAATAAATTAATACTGAGGCATGCAGTGACTTTTTGGAAATAAACGTCCCTCGTGGGATTCTGGCCGAGGAACTTTATTTTACACTCAGGGTTCCTAAAAACTAAAGAAACAAGGTATAACTATTGAGTCTTAGAGATGCTCTCTGTACTTTTGGATACTAACTTCTCATTTCACTCTCTGCAAGAAAACCCGAAAACTTGACCTGCTGCGTTAAACAAAACTTAACGTTAGGTGGATGCCGTCTCAGAACGAGAATTAGTTGTACCAAAGCCATGAACTATTCAAGGAAACATGCAAGAAAGTATTGCACCTTAATGGATAATTCCGGTTTATTTCATCTTAATTCCCATTGGTCTGTCTGTTGTGGCTCCATTAATCCTGCTAACTTTACACTCTTCGCTGTAGAGATTAAGAAAAATGAGGCACAAATGTGAACATTTAGTCGATTCCATCAACCAGCGAGTATCCATAAAACACAGTTGGCAAGATGTCCGTTCCAGATGCTTAATTTCTGTTTTTACTGTCAGTCAGACTCGAAATATTAAAAGTAATTCATGTAAAAATCCAATTTTATGGAAAGCAGCAGGGAACTCATGCTTTCTGTTCTGATATACGTTGATTTTTACCGTCTACGGTGCCTTCAGGTGCAAATCCTAAAGTGGTGAATCTCAATGTGTGTGTTTCAGGACTTCCTTCCAGGTGACGTCAGGATGTTTGGCGTTTTCATCTCTGAACCTGGACGCTGCGTTCTGGCGGCAGACAGGTACGTCACGTCCACCTTAGACCACAGAAACAAAGAGCTGGTGGTTCAGACGAGGGATGGAAACCCATATCGGTTATTAGCAACAACAGACGGCGCTTTGGAAATCGTAAACATTTGCAGTAAAAATGAAAATCTTCAGAAGTGCGCAAACTCTGAAACCAAACTTCACTGAAATATGTTGATGTAGTTGATTTACTTTGTGTTGGGAATTGGTAAAACAGCAGAAAATTGTACCGATATTTGAGAAAATGCTGAACAAATATAATGAATAAATGTTATTCACTTGAAAAAAACAGAAGTCAGACATTTGAGTTGCTCTTCTTAGGAAATGATATTATTTAATTCTGAGAATTAAGAGTTAATATTCTTTCAAACAAAACAAAACAAGTCTGTAGGGCAGAATAAATCAGCATTTCATTGAAATAAGCTGCTTGCACATTGATAGAAAACATGGAAATAATTTCATTTATCTACATTTGAAACGTTTTTTTTTACGCTCTGTTGTGGTTTTAAGAGAATAAAATTCAAGTGAGTCACCGTGCAAACAGCTTCAGCACCAAAAGAGAAAATTAAGATTCTTTCCAAACAGAAAAAAAAAAACCTAAACTATTTGGTGTGAGCGTCGTTTTGCCTGTAAAGCGGCACCAGTTCATCCATCTGTGACCTGAGTTTTCACAATGTGACGTCTAACAAAACTCTTTTTAATCAACAAAAGATGGATTTCAGAGTAAAAGACGACCTGAACACGTCAAGTGAAAGTGAAAACGTGCGTCATGTTTTCTCACAGATGTTTTCCGTCTGAAGCTCGACTCGTTTAAACGTCTTAAATGTTTGTTTCATGCCGAGTTTAGATCCTCGCCGATTGCGGTGTTTTGATTCTCTTCCATAAAAGGCTGCTGACAGTCAGACGGAGCTTCGGGCGCTTTGCTATTTTAAAAGCAGCTGTGGTCTAATGAGTCCTTGTGCTCTGATGATGCTGCTGCTGCTGCTGCTGCTGGCATCGAAGGCCGACGATAAGAGGAAGGATGGAGGGAGGAGGAACGAGGGAGGAGGAGGATAAGAGAGGAGGTGAACGAGACGGGAGAAGGAAAGGTTAAGAAGGAAGGACAGAAGTGTAATAAGTGGGGAGAATGAAAGATGATGCAGAAGTTTGGTTTGTGCAGGTTCATTCCTTCATTTCTGTTCTTCACATCATCATATTTTTAGCTGATTTAAATTCAGTAAAACTGTTTAATTTTCCACATTGTAAAAGAACAAAATCCTGCTTGTAAAAAAAATAATAATAATTTAGTGCAGCCTGGAAAATCTGCAAAATAGCTATTTCTTTAAATCCTAAATATGCGTTTCTTTTAAATAATCACAATTATCTGTAAAAAATATATATTTTTAGCTGATTTAAACATAGAACAGTGAAATTTAACATTCACACATTAAAATATGCATATAATATTTATTATTCCTATAAATTACCTGTTTTTCTTTGTTGCTTTTTACAGTCAACATATAAATTAATAAGTTTTTGGGGTCATTTTACAAACAAAACAAGTAAAATCTGTAAAATAACAGTTAAAACAAGAGTAAATATTTTTCAGTCCTTAATATACTTAATTTTTTTTTTAAATAATGTCAAACATTTTTTTTTTTTTTTTTTGCTGAATACACTAAAAATTGTTTCCTTTTTATGGTTTAATGTTGTTAAAGAGTAAATTGTTATTTTTTAAAATCTAGATTTTTTAAAAAGTGAATATTATTTACAGTTTTGGCATGTTTTTGTTTGTTTTTTTCACTGTCAAAAACAAACACTGTCAACAAGTAAATTCATACTTTTTTTCTGTCATTTTACCAGACAGAGAAAATCTGTAAAATATATTTTTTTCAATCCATAATACAAATCATTTTTCTTTAGAATAACTGTGTTTTTTTGTTTGTTTGTTTTTGCTGATCTAAATACAGTAGAAATGTGTCCTTTTTAAATTCAAACATTCAAAAAAAGTTAAGTGGACAGTATTTATAGTTTGTTGTTGTTTTTTATGGGCATCATCTAAATTTATTTATTTACTATTTTTGCAATTTAATTAGTTATTATTTATAATTGAACAAAATAGAGAAAATCTGTAAAATACCGATAAATTGCTCCAAAAATATTACAATATTTTTTTACAATACAAGAGTCGAAGTTTGATGAGAGGTGAAGGAGAGATGGAGCAGGTGGAGGAAGGATGGAGCAGGACAGATGAGGATAAAGAAAAGGAAAGACAGAGCTCAGAGAGGGCTGAAGGAGGGAAAGGAAACAAGGAGTGAAAGGAGGGAGGAGCTGAGGAATTCTGAGGAAACTCCCTGTTAGGAGACAGAACATAAACAGAATACCAGCCTGCGTCCTCGGGGATTCATGAACCCAGAACTCTTGAACATGTTTGCTGTGGAACTGTGAAGGTCGGAGGTCGCTGCAGGAATCCAGCGAGTGTTTACACGGATCTGAATATAACCGGGAACACAGAGAAATAAATCCTGATGACCGACCCGGACAGCTGATGACATCTAAAACAGTTCTGAGGAAACTGAACCATGAAAACAAAGCGTTCATGCATTCATCAGCTTCCCTCACATTCTTTATTTGATGTGTTTATGTTGCTTTTAAATATAAAATATTGCACTTTTCTCTTGTTTTGTGGTAACTCTGCACACAACAGTAATGATTGCTCATGTTTTCCTGTCAGACCTGCAGACGTCCACGTCTCAGCAGATCCTCCTCCAACGTCCCAGAACGTCTTCCAGCCTGCAGGAGCTTCACTCGGTGAGTAAGATAAGAAATAAAACATCAGGTGGCGTCGAACTCGCTGCCTGTTGAGTCACTGTTGTTTCATCCTTGAATCGCGGCTGAATGTTTTCCTCCAAACAGCGTTGAATCATCTCAGCTTGTTTTTACTCCCAACTCACCACATAACCTGTAAAATATCAGTATTTTTTTTAATAGTTTTAAACTGTAATTTCTCAGACAGTTTTCACAGATTTTTTTTGTTTAATTTTGTAAAATATTGTAAAAAAAAAAAAATTACAACATTTTTATTATATTTATATTAATATTTTACAGAGTTTAGTTATTTTACGTTCTGCTCAAACATTTCTGATTAGTATTTGTTTTTTTAAAAATCTTTTAAATCTTTTTACATTTTTTTTTAATTTGCCCTGAACTGTTCCTGAAACAAGTTCATGAGATGTTGTTGTTCAAATGCAGCCTAAAATTCAATCTGTGAAAAAATATGCTTTAAAACAAAGAAAGTATTTGAAATATTAACCTAAAATCTCAGATTTTTTAAAATTAAATATCCATATTTTATGCAATAAAATTTTCATGCAAATCAAGAAGGTTGATCAGAAATTGCTGAGATGACTCCTCCAACAACCGGGATTATTTTCAGCAACACAACATTTTGACCCCATTTTTCTCTAAAACCAGTAAATGTGGTTTATCCCACTTTGGCACCAACCTCCTCTAATAATTGTCCAACACTGGAGACAAACGTCCGTCTGCCTCCACCTTTTAAAGCTCCTCATCAGCTTCTTTTAAACTGAAAAAAACATTAAATAAAGACTCCAGCTTTGACAAACATTCGTCTTCTTCTGGTCGTAGATCCCGGTTCCTCCCAGACCCCCGTCACCCGTCGGGAGCGTCAGAGGAACAGCGAGCGACAGCGAGTCCACAGCGCCTCCACCCTGGCGGCCTCCGTCGGCCTGCCGTGTCCCTTCTCCTCCCCCGGAGCTCCAGATGGAGGCGAGTGGCCGGTCGCCGTCAGCTTCCCGGAGATCCAAGAAGATCAAAGTTCTGCTGGAACGCCGACGAGACGCAGCATGAGCGACGCCACCGCGTTGGAGGAAACTCCGAGGGACGTGCACCGAGGCCGGGCCTTCAGCCTGGAGATGACCGGAGGGTTCCCTGCAGAAAGCGTAGGTTCGACTCCGCCGTCACACTTCCACCTGGACAGGAGGAGCAGCTCTCCTCCGTCCCCCCACCCGTCCGTCCAGCGGCCACTCGCCTCGCTGAGGATCTCCGAGTCGAACCTGAGCAGCCCCATCGACCTGCAGCCGCCGGCAGAAGCTCCCACGACCTTCCAGCAGGAGGACTACGACGAAGTGTTCCTCCAGAACCCTCCTTATATCAAGGAGACCAACATCATCGAGGACTTCCCTCCTCCTCCACCTCCGGTCGAGCTGGAGCCGGAAGCTGAGCCGCTGACATCTGGAAGGTTCGTCTCCAAAATCCGCTCGTTTATCTCTGAGTTGAGATGGACTTTCTAACAAATGTCTTCTCTTTAGTCCGACTCCAGAGTTCTTGAGCAGCTCCAGGAAGTCTTCGCTGCAGCCCTCCGTCTGTCCTCCACCTGCTCTGAAGCCGCAGTCCTCCTCCATCACCTCCATCTCCACGTCCTCCACCATCGAGGACAACCTGAACCTCGACTACCAGCCGCTGCCTCGGAGGGACAAGACGCCGGAGGAGCTGAGAGTGGAGGCTTTAGCTCGGCAGCTGGTGGGTTTCCAACACTTCCTTCTTATAATGAACCACCTAAACCTGGACAAGGTCCTTCAGATTGCCCAGCCTTTAGCTAGTGATAATTACATGGCTTTTGAGGGACCAAGCATGTCTTGGTTTTTGAGACCTTATGAGACCTTAAACACCCAAACTCATAGTACCATCCTTCCAAACCTTGTTCTGTCACTCAGTAGTTATGATTAAAGAGTCCTTTGTGGTAATTGTGTCCAAATGCACGACACTCTTTACACAGTTCCAGATGTTTGCATCATAAAATTTTAATTGAAAAAAAATCTACTCTGGTTGGTCCATCAGTGGTTCTGACTGGTTCTGACTCTGCCTTTCTTGTCATATTCAGTTTGGATTTGTCTGTTTTCTTGTGTCCAGGTGTTGCAGGATCCGTCTCTGTCGCCCCTCTTGGACACCTGGGGCGGTAAATCCACCGTCGACTTAATGGAGGAGATTTTTCCCAACAGCAGGCTGATCAGTAAACCCCAGCGCAGAGGCAGCAGGTGAGTCGCACGTCACCGATTCAGGGATTATCTAAAACTCACTAAGAGCTTTACTACAAACGTCTCTTGTTATCTGAAAAGTGGGAATTAAAGTCAAAGATGCCTTCGGAAATGTTTCATAGTGGTGCACAAATGGTAAATATCTCGGGGTGTTGCACCGAAACCAACAATAAAAGCTGAATTTCAGTCCTTTTATTATGCTGTTGTTGCACATAAGTGAGTTGAAAACTATGTCAGCATCAGAAATCTCCTGCTGATGTACTTTTACAGTTATTTTAACCAACTGTCCGATGTCTAGAGACTAATACAGGGAACATTCTGGCTGTTTGACCGACTGCCGCTGTTCAAAATAGTCCAGGAGAAGAGACAGAAGTTTCCCTGTAGGTGTCATAAACTGGAGATATTGTTAGAAATACACATCAAAGACACTTCCAGACTTTAGTCATGATTTCAGTATTGAAAATGCTGATAATTCATCAAAATACAGCAACTTATGGTGCACTAAATGGTGATTTTAATAGTTACCTGACTACCTGGTGCCATATTTTGGTAGATGATGTGCAAATGTCCTGATGTGGAATCAGAAATCTTGATCCATCCTGTCTCCATGTTGGGAATCATTTATAATTATGGGTAATTAATGAAGGTATCACCGTGTTCTGAATGAAATATCTCACCTCTTTCTCTTGGGAGATGCTCACATTCATCCTGCTGCCGTCCGATGCTGCAGATATTTATTTAAGTCAGAGGAAGTAATCCTAAACATCCAGAAGCAACAAGCTCCTGTTGATGTTTTCAGGTCTTTGTGTCGCCTCCGTCAAGTAAAGACACACAAACTTGGTCCTTTGCCTCTTTTAGTTGCACAATCACATCATTTTAGTTTCACTTTCACTCAGTACAGCAGTTGGATTCACTGAAACGTGGACATCGGAGATCTGTGGATTAAACCAGCTCACCAACAACTCTGCTAAAACGACTCTATACGCCACAATACCTGGTTGTATTAATACATTTAATACCAGAAACTGATGATAATAATGATGCGGTTCAACCCTGCAGGTTAACAGATTGGTTCTTTAGGTTTCAAATGAATCCGTCTTTTTGAGGCTGTACACAACAAAAAAGAAATGCTTGAAGTCAAGGATGGTGGCTTCAAACACTGACACTGGATCACTGATGATGCTGTTTGAACTTCCTCCAAAGTGCCTCATGTAGCTGCAAGATAAAGGTCCTCGTGATGAGCCTGTTTATTCAGCCTTTAGACCAAAGTTGCAGAGTCTTACGGAGCCTGAGCCCAACGTCGGGGGGTATAAAGTTCCCGTAAACCAACATTTATCATCCTTGCTGTGTTTGCCGACGGCTCTTATCTGCTGCTGACAGAACAGATGGAGGAACTTGTGCCGTCTCTGCAGCCTGTGGGCTGGAAGGCCACCGACGTCTCGGCTGTGTTTGGGTTCGCCGGTGAACACGGTGTTCGCGGAAAGAAGGTTTCCTCGTCGTCAGTTTCTCTGAAGAGTCACAGGAAGGTCGTGTTTCCAGTCTCTGGGAGAGCTGCTTTCATTGTGGTGTTGCGTTCAGGTGCAGGTTGGATGCAGTTTTCTGGCAAATTGGAAAATGTTTTCATTACTGCTGCTGTTTTTTATGCGTCAGTCTGAGTCGGATGCAGGTATCAGTCCACCATTGGTCGCTCAGTTCAGCCAACTCTGACCTCGTCTTCCGCCATCTGCATGTTGTTGCTTTCAAAATTCATTCAAACAGAAAGGACACTGAAAAGTTCTAGTTTTTCAGAGGATTTGGATCATGCAGTAAGGAGACTCTACCATTTTTTTATTGGTAGAATGCAGCTTCGCGATAGTTCAGACAGGTTCGGAGTCAGGTAATCACGGGTTCTACTCTGCCCAATCACATGCCTACTCAGCTTATTGGCACGCCTTATAACCAGGCTCATCCATTCATTCATTCATTCTAGCTCGTGCTCGTCACATCGCTGCCTCGTCGCTGCCACTTCGTCGCTGCATTTACCTCGTAACGTAACATTCTCCTCCTCCCCCCTATCCTCCTCCTTATTATAACCTGGTACACGAACATCGTCTATTCATACTGTGTTGCAGTTGTTCAATCATTTGGCTCTGCCGGGGGATCTAGTGATCTCAGGGAATGTCTGTGTCGTGCTTGCTCAGATTGTTCCAGAGCATCACTTGAGCAAAGTCACCGCCAAACTAAATATACGTTCTGTATAAAGAAGTAAATGGTTCAATCTGACAGAGTCCTGTCTGAATTTAGTTATGTTTTAATCATAAGTCTCATCTTCAGCAGATTGAAGGTTATTCCATCCTTAAGTCATCGGGTTCGTTCTGCTCGACTGTCTCTGATTTACATAAACTACGGATGTTTAAAACGGTATCTGTTAAATTTGAGCTCGATCTGTTCAGTAATTTTTCGAGATTTAAAAAAAAAATGGAAAAAATTACCCCACTAGCAATTTGTGGCTGTTTGAACAACAATATCTCAGAAAGTGTTAAAGACAGAAGTCAAAATAAATACGACTAATACTTTCTGAACCGGGCTGCTGGAGGACAAAAGAGGATCTGGGCTGAAAGTAGAAACAAATTTAGAGAAATCCCAACAACTGTTGGTGAATGAAATGTCACGGATACGTTTAAAATAAACCCAATATTTAGAACATAAAGGGTCCAGCACGTGTCGGGCTGTGTACCTGCCCTTCTGAATCATAAACAAAGATTAAACAGTGAGTATTTGCAGCATATTAAATTATTTAAACCTGTTATTTAGAACAACGTCAACCAAGCTGTCCGACTGTTGTTGAGCTGTGATACACAACTTATTTTTCTAAAGTTTACGCTCCACTTGTTGTCCATCCGTTTGACTTGGTCTCACTTAGTTTTTAGCCGACTCTAAACGTCTTCATTACGTCTGAAAACATGTTCTCGGGTGGTTTGTCACTCCTGCTGCACAAAACAACTGATTAATCCCGGAAGCTAGTCGATGTAGAGCTTCTCTCACCGACGATCGTCCAGCGAATGAGGATTTGGTTGGATGAGAACATAACGACCGACCTGGAGACAGCCACCTACAACTATCAGAAGTTACATGTCTTTGGTCATGACGCTGGATCCATCCATGACCTTCCCAGTCTTAATCTCTTCTGTAAAGGCCAAATTAATCAGTTGCTTCCTTGCACGTGGGGGTATTTTAGGCAACGTAAGGCGCCACTGGTTATGAAGTAACAGCTGATGAATGAAGTCCTGCTGCTGATTTTGTATCTTACCCATATGGACTTAACACACAGCCTATTCTCCAGGTTTTAGATCTAAAGTGAAGAGTTATGCTATTTTGTTTAGCCGCTCCTCTCAGCTTTCAGAGCGATGAGGCAACGCGAAGGTGAAACTGATTCCTGCTGACTGAGCGTTCGTCACCAGACGGGACAGGAGAGACCAGACAAACCTGATCGACATTCCTTCAGCAGCGCAGTCAGGCGACGGTGTCCAAACACTGAGTCTGATTCATTGAACGCCACAATCACCGAGGAGTCGCCGGTTCCTGATCTGAGAACAGCCACAGATGTCACGTCGCAGGAATTCGTGCGACGTTGGATGTCGGTTTTCTGACTTTCAGGCCCTTTAAGGCAGCAGCTCCTCCCAGGAGACGTAGTTTAAGTTGTCTGGCACAAATACATCTGTCAACTCTTAAACTTTCTCAACAAGAAGAACCGTCGTTAGAGCAGCAGGAAGCAGGAAGTTTTCAGACTGAGAAAGTAGCAGCGCTGCAACTTGTAAATACTTTTATACTTTTGTATGTGAACTCTTTACCGACGTTTCCACCTGATCTGTATCCTCACATCAGTGTCTCAGACTAAAGCACAGGTGGATTGAACAGTTGAAGAACACTGACATCTAGTGGCCAACTGGTAGAACACAGGAAAACAAAGGCTCCTTAAATGTAACTACAAAAGGCTTCTAGTCTTCACTTTGTTCTTGTTTTTAGTTTTTCTAACAAGAGTTGACAAGAATTTAAAACTTGCCACTTAATAAAAATGTCCAACGCTGCATAATATTCAACACTAAACGGCTTGAAACCAGTTAAAGACAGAAAAACTGGTACGAATTTCTATAGTGGTCATTTTTGTTTTGTTTTGTTTTTAGTTGGTTTCTTTTCCTATTTGTATGTTTATCTCCATTTTTCTCTTTCTCTGTTTGTTATCCCGCTCTTTAGATCGTCAATAATTTCTTCTCCCTTCGTTTGGTTTCTCCTCCATCTTCCCTTCTGATCAGTTTACTGCAAAACTTGTCACAAACATGAACGGCAGCAGTGTAACGCTCAGATTCACAAAATGCAATTTCACTCAAAATGTTTCTTCTTTGATTTGCAGGATCCAAGATGGCGTCTGCGATCCTGCTGAGATCGCTGAGCAAGGGAATGAAACTGATCTGGACGAGGAGGAGAAGGACATCAACGCCAGAAAGGTAGAAAACACATCATTAAGTTGTTTACATGTAAAAATAGATCATTTTATTTAGTAGTGGTACAATAATACTGAATATTACTAGAATCTCAAACCTTAAAGCAGTAATTTTTTTAAATGTTGAAGGAAACAAACAAATTAAGAGGGAAAAATGCATCTTAGGAAAAAATAGCCTTTAAATTTGTACGTTTGGACAATAATTCATCTTTTGCGTTTGCCTTTCCATGTTCTGATGCAGTAAAAAAAAAAAAAAAAGTTCATTAGTTGAAGATAAACTCCAGATTATCGTTGTTTCTCCTCCCGTCCACCAGGTGGAGCTGTGCGAGGCTCTGAGGAGCAGCATAGCGGCGCTGCAGCGGGAGAAGGAGGCGCTGAGCGAGGAGCAGCGGCGCCACCGGGTGCTGGAGGCCAACGTCGAGACACTGGTGCAGGAAAAACTCAAAGCCAACGAGAGGGACAAGTACAGCATGTTCATCGGTACGACAGCTGTGTTTAAAAGACGGACCTGAAAAGTTAAAGTTAAAGCTGCGTTCTTCCCGACAGCCAGCAGAGGGCGACTCTTCAGACGTCAGATTGTATAGAAGTAAATGAGAAAATATACCGACTTCTAAGTTGTTTTGCTACTTCAGGAAACTTTTTCTTTATGAGTTTATGGTCTCAATCTGTAGCTTCGAGACTTTCTGAAAACAGCGTCGTGTTTATTTAGTAAATTATGATTCCAATCAGAGGAAAATAGACGATGAAGCTCAGTTTGTTTCAGTCAGACCCACCAGTCGTTCGTTAGGTCCGAGTTTAAAGATGCTGATGGACAAATTCCAAACTTTATCTCAACACATTAGAGTCAGTGAAGCGAAGACCTACGATACGATGGAGACAAACCCAACAATTCCCTTGTTTTTAAATCTCAGCCAGAATCTGCAAAGTGCTTTAAAATTGTCATTCACTGATGCCACTGGGAAGAAATTCAGTGATTTGCTTTTTTTTTTTTTTTTTTTTTTAAATCTTTCATCATCAAAATACATAATTTCAATAAAATTCTGCACACAAGAAATCACAAGATTTAGAAAACAAAATGTTTGCGACATAGGAACTGGAAAGATCTCAAAAGCACCAGACATGACTCTCCAAGTGACGAAAGCACAAACAAATACTGAACTGTACGAGGTCACCAGAGTAAAAAACAATACACAAACCTCAGTGCAATAAAGGCACATAAATAAATAACACAAGAAAACTTCTAACAGGAACCCAAAAGACAAATAAAACCCAACTGAATCCAACAACATACAGCGTACGAAACGTTTTTATATCTTAGCGAGGCTCTACAAAGCGCTTTAAGGTGTTCATTCATCGATGTCATTGGGAGAAACTTGGGTGTCTCGTTCAGGGAGCTGGAGATCAAACTACCAGCCCTCCCAACTGTCTTGACCTGGCGGTTCTTGTTGTTTCCTGCAGGAGATCTGGAGAAGATCGTGAACCTGCTGCTGTCGCTGTGCAGCCGGATGTCGAGGATCGACCGATCGCTGCTGGCTCTGCAGAGAGACGAGCTGACGTCGGAGGATGCAGCCGAGGAGAAGGTGAGGCGGAGCGGAAGTTTTTCAGCTCATTGGCTGGTTGCTTCTTCCAGGCATTTGCAAGAACTTGCTGCAGTTCTTGCAAACATTTAGTCTCATACGGTCTTTTGCAGGACTTCTTGTTTGCCTTTGAGCTAAACTTAAGTCTTTATGACTCTGACTGCATGTTTGGGTTCATCGTCCTGCTGCAGAATCAATTTGAGACCAATCAGACGTTTCCCTGATGCTGTTGCATGAATCTAAACATCTAAAGTACCTCAAATGTTTCCGTAAAAGTACCCGTCTGTCTGCTGTTTCACCTGGTTGTCTGTTTACCTGCATCTTTGTTCATCTGTGTGCCCATTTCTGTGAGATATCAAATATTTCAGATACTTAAATCCACCAGAAGGTTCTTGCTTTAGTCATTTTTTATTACAATGTAAGAGTTCAGAGGCATGTGTTTAGAATAAAGGGCCTCACAGAGGAAGAATCGATGAAACGTTAACCTGTGATCGAGTCTGTTAATGTTTTCTATCTGTGCTGCTCTCACTGTGACATAATGAGTCAAACCCTCTGAGTGAACTCACTGATCAAATATTAACTTTCACTTTGAGTTAATTTGCTGCTCCGGACTCATCAGATGTTCCCATAATGATGAACAAGTCCTAAAATATTTATTAAGTTTAAAAAAAACATCATGGTTTTACATATAGACGATCGTTATTTCAAGTTTAATTGAAAACATTTTACAAAAAAAATAAAAAATTCCCATCATGCCTGCTGCCTGAAGCCACTAGGGGGCGCTAAAAGTCACTTGTATCTGTTTATCTGGTGTCACAGTCCTGAGACGCACTCTGTGAGGGTCCAGATGTGTTTCTACTTTTTAACCAGATGTGCAGAATCAGGAATTGAGTCATCACATGTACGTTAATGCGGTTTGCAAGGTGGTGATGCAGCAGGTTGCCATGGCAACAGCTTGCATCCAGCAACACAGAAACACTAATAATGAGCGAAGTTATCAGATTAAAAGAAGGTGAAGGGTCGGGTTTCAGGTTTATGGTGTCAAAATGACCATCAGGCCTTTAGAGGCTAACAGCTAACTATGCTAATGATCCCTTTTAGTCTGATGGAGAAAAACACGTTTAATTCATCTTGATGATACAAAAGACGCATCAGCTTCCTCTGTAGCTCAGATATTACGGTCAGATCACCAGCTCTGAACATCTGATAGCATAAAATATGGATTTTAAGAAAGCTGCTTAGGAAATTTTGTGAAGCTTTTTAAAAACTGCCCGTCGACCCCGTGTTTTTTTTCTCAGGTTGAAATCTGAGGCTGTTTGAACAAGAATATCTGAGGAACTATTAAAGATAAAAACCTGAAATGTTCTCTGTTATTTCTCATCATGTCGTTGATTCGGAGTCCGTAATATTTAAAGTGCAGCTACATGTGCTTCAGAAAATATCACGAGTTCACTTCTGCTTTATCATTTTTGTTAATTTGAGCTCAGAGATGGAACTTTTCATGACAGTTTCCATTTTATTTTATATTTCAACTCCCCCATCATCAGAGATTATCTGATCTACTGTCCGATGTCACAGATTCTGAATCAGTGACATGATGAGAAATAACAGAGAACATTTCAGGTTTTTATCTTTAATAGTTCCTCAGATGTTGTCGTTCAAACAGCCTCAGATTTCAAAGTGAGAAAAAACCTGCTGAAAGTGGGTTGATGGACAATATTTAAAAGAATTTATCTCAGAAAGTGTTTGAGATATGACGCTATAATTTCACAGATCGCATTTTAAATTCCCAGAACTACACTGTTGTTCTTCTTCTTTATTGTCTGGTTGCAGCTTCCTGTTGAGTCTCATTAGTGATAAAACAACAATCTGATAAATATGTTCTCGCCCTTTTCAGGAGAACCTCCTTCACAAACGCTCTCTGCTGCTCCGCCAAACCGAAGACGCCCGGGAGCTGAAGGAGAACCTGGACCGGCGGCAGCGCGTGGTCCAGTCCATCCTGTCCGGCTACCTCAGCGACCCGCAGCTGGAGGAGTACCGCTGCTTCGTCAGCGCCAGGCCCTCGCTCCTGATTCGCCAGCGCCACCTGGACGACCTCGTGCGGCAGGGGGAGGAGCAGCTGGCGCGACTGGCCGAGACGCTGCCGCCGGAGCTGGCCGAGGCTCGCGGCTGGTCGCCGGCGTTCCGCAGCCCGACGTCGTGCTCGTCGCCGTTCCCGTCGCTCCTGCCGCCGTCCCTGATCCCAGGCCCCGCCCACCCGGTCAGGACCACTACCGTGACGTCACTGTGATGTCACGGACGGGGCAGGAAGTGACCCTAAAAACTGAAGCGATGCTCTAAAGTGAAGCAGCTTTACGGACGCTGCTCACGATGAAACTACTATGCAGACTTCACACATGAGGAAGGAAAAGCCTTCGAAGCGCTTCGTTCTGTTCACACCCGTTAGACCTCCGATCACCTCGACACCAGCAACCAGCTCCGTGTGGACTCAACCCGACTGCTGCCAACTAACGACTAACTCTGCTCTGAAATGTGATCCTGAAAGGCCGCCGGGCGTTTTCATGTTGGAGGTTCCCCAAGAAAGCTGGACGATTCCAGCGAGGATTTCTTTTATCTTTGCGACGCGTTTTTAATCCGCCAAACGCGCTGGAGTCGTCCTTCACCGACCACGACGGTGCTTTCAGGAACCTTCCTCCAAGCGGGTCATCTCCCAAAGACAAAACACCATCATCTGCAAAAAAAAAAAACAAAAGCGTCGCAAAACCTGCTCACTCTTCGCACATGTACAGCAAACTTACTGAAACCAATTAACGCCAAAATTGGAGCACATAATTGTCATACTGTAACACAACTACTGCCTGAACGCCTGCAGCTTGTAGCACTTTGTAGCAGCCCGACTACTGTTTGCAGCAGAATTTACACTGAATGACGAAAGAAAAAAAAAAGGTTTTCCGCCTCTTTAAAATACTCCTGTGATGAAACATCCGATGCCTAAAAAGGAAAAGTTTCCAAAGATTTTCACTGGAGGAAATGTTTGCAGATATCTCGTGGGTTTCATTTAAAAATTGAGGCACAAATACATATTTTTTCTGCATTTTACTGGCCCCAACAGTTAGCTTAACATCTGAGTAATAGCTCAGTCTGCATTATAAAAGGAAAATAAATCACCAAAAACCCAAAGATATTTAATTGAGAACCATATGAAACATTCAAAAAAAGCACATTTGAGAGGCTGGAATTGGTATTTTTGCGGATAAACGGTTATAATTTTGGGTGCAGAGTGATGTTTTTCCACGTTCCAACAACTCCCGTTAACAAAATGCCGTTCGTGATCGAACAAACTTCTGCTGAAACAAACTTCTTCAGCAGTTTTTCCTCAAACGGAGCCAGTAACACTGTGAGAAACGCGGCGCTGCTTTCGTAAAAACTCTGCTTATTTGATCTGTTTCGGAAAAACGAGATTCTTCGTTCAATCTCAGTGGTGAAGTCACTTTAGTTACTCTTTTAAAAGTCGGGAAACCTACGGAGGACGAAAGCAGGAACACGAGTCAAAGCTGTGCTGACAGACAAGCGATCGTCTTGAGAAACAGATTGTTTTTTGGTCAGAAGCCAAACTACCACGACTTTTCCTACATTTCCCACAATGCAGCTTACTGCTGTCATTTATTACACATCTTGTGCCTGATAAACACTTGAACTCTTTAAATACGTAGAAATTTGAGGCCTCAAAAAGACATTTCCTCAGTTTTTAAAGCGTTTCCCTTTAATCTTCTTTAAAACACCCTCATGGGTTGAACATTGTGGAAAATATTTAAGCAAAATGCTGCAAATTTGCTCTCAGACGAGTTAAAAGGAAACAGAAATGAGAACAAAAACGGATCAGAACGCTGACCTGTGAGGAAAATATCAACATTACAGTAATAAATGAGATATAAATGTAAATGTTGAACCTCCTGCTTTCCTCCATCGTCGACTTTATTTATTCTCTTGACATTTTTTCCTTCATTTGTCCTCTCTGGGCTCCCGTAGCTTTCCAGGAAACCCTTGATTTGGATTCTCTGCCAGCTGTTGATCAGGTCTAGATTTGTGATTTTTGATCATCTTTTATCGGTTTCTCATCAGGCTCCATTCGGCTTCTCTTCGGTTCGGCTCTACAGGGTCAATATTTATTTGTTAGCGAACAGCAGCAGCTCTGATCAGAGGAAGGTTTCACCTGTTTTCACTCCAAACTCTTCTGCTCTTCACCCACATGTTTAGTTTTGAGAGCACCTTTTTAAATATCCTGCAAACACCACAGCTACACGATCCGCCACGTCCGCATTAATAACCCCCGTTTTACTGTTGATTATCGTTTGTTACTGTCGGAGGCACCGCAGAATATCTCAAGACGTGTTTCTGGTTTATTGTTGAATGAAATTCAATGTTCACTTTATGAAAGAATTGAGAACAAATAATAAAACAGATCCCGGTTTTTGCAAAATAAATGTATTTTGTAAATACTGCCAGACTTTTCTGTCTTTTTTAGGTTGTCCTATACACACACACACACACACACACACACACTGTGCTGTGATTAGCAGATCAACGTGGCACCACATGTCTGTAGATTCAGGTCAGAAGTTCCTACGACACCAGTGATCAGCTGCTCATCATGCAGTCTTTAGATCAGGGGTCTCAAACTCAACTCACCGGGGGGCCGCTGGAGAGAGAGTCTGGATGAGGCTGGGCCACATCAAGTAGTCCACAAAAAAGAGTTTCAAGAATTCCAGAAAAAGTACAACTGATCCAATCTTTATTAATAACAACTCAGAACATGAATATTCTTCAGAACATCGGCTTCTCCTACCGACTCCTTACTTCTTGCTTGCTTCTGAGCCACATTTGGCTTGAGGGAGAAAGTCATTGAGACCCTCAGTGTGGCTTGAAGATGCTCATGAGTAAGTTTGGACCTGGACTTTCTCATTAATGACTCATTAAAGTTCATGGTGGAGAAGAGCTTTTCACACAGATAGAAAAAAACACACACAAAAAGAAAGAAAGCATTTGCACTGGGTGATATATTTTCTCTCCACTCGGTGACTCTCCCAAATCACGTTTCAAGCATGATGATTTAGAGCATGATGCTGCCACCACCATGCACTGGTGTATCATTTTTCCAGAAGACCTTGATTAAATCTATGAAACAATCTAAATTCATGATTGTTCTTTGACAACAAAGACGTGTGTTTTGAAGGTTCAATCATAGAAAAACAGGATTTATTGGCGTCATTGGAAACGCTGCCTGATATACATGGTCTTTACGAGAGTATGGAAACTCCTGGTCATGAGTGTGCACGTATGAAGGACTCCTGATCAGCCAGTCAGAACTGAAGAAGCCTCTTGGATGTGAGGTGAAACGTCTTCAAGAATCAGAAGTTTAGTTTCCTCTTATTGAAGTTTTACACTTCAGCGTCTCTTGGTGAGTTTATCGTCTCTTTCAGCTCGTTGATTTGGTTTTAGTGCCTCAACTTTAATATTTTGTTCAAGTTTACTGCTCTGGTAAGATCTATTTAGACAGCGACTGACTCGCTAGTGTAAAACGTCTAAAAAACAAACACAAACTGACCAAAAAACAGACCGTACTTGGCTCCAAATGAAAAATAACATTTTTCTTTAACTCCTACATGTATAAATAGATGACTATTTGCCAGCAAGTTCCACGTATTACCTTAAAATGTGGTTTGATGTCAAATAAATAAATAAAAATCAGCAACAGCAAGTTTAAAGCTGCACTTAGCTTTTTTTTTTCATGTTAAAATGGATCAAACGGCTCCATGTAATCTGAGAAAAGCATCAGAAATGACTTTAAATTACATTTATATGACAAGAAACTAAGGTGGCTATTTACATGGGTTGAAAGGAAACAATCTAAACAATAATATCATCTGCAATATAGCAATACTAGTATCAGGATTATGTCCAATATTTAATTTTTCTGGTGCAGTATTTAAGTTTTATCTGCAATATTGCTTCACTACGTCAGTATTACTTCTTAGTTTTCTATTCTAGTCTTGTTTTAGATGATTTATTTGTTTTTTATGTCATGTATTGTACTTATGTCTTATTATTTTTCTATTTTAGCTGCATTGAATCTCACATTATGTAATTTGGTTTTCAACATCCGGCACAATAATTTACTTCAGTCCTGTTTTATCTTATCTAATCTCATGTAGAACAAAAAGGCCCTAAAAGTCGTTTTATGATCACTGTTAGTCAGTTATGATGAATATTTATGATCAGCTTCAAAGAAACTTGAGTTTTCATGTTTTTAACGTCACAACACAGAAAATAAAAAAGATCTTTGTGCATCGTTTCTCTGCACATTCAGTCCCTGCAGCTGTTTGTTTGACACACATCCGGGTTACCTGCAGGAATGCAGCAGGTGAGTCAGGTGTTAAATACCTGCGGTGGGCGGGGCTTATTCTGGTCTGACAGAAACGGCTCCGACCTTTGAGACCAGCAGGGCGGGAGCAGCCCGAGACTCGCAGCCCGGCCACAGCGACGCCAGCATGGACGCGGTTCTGACCCAGGACGCGGTGCTGCACTTCCTCCAGAGCAGCGGAGGTTCGGTGAAAAACGCGGATCTCCTGCTGCACTTCAGACCCTTCCTCCGGGACCACGCGGAGCGGGACCGGAACCGGGAGCTCTTCAAGAAGTTCGTCAACTCCGTGGCCACCGTCAGGCAGACGGACGGAGTTTCTTTTGTGGTTCTCAGGAAGAAATTCCGGGGCCATGTTCCGGGTGGAGGCGCTGAAGGAGGAACCTCCGGGGCTCCGCGGCTCCACGCCGGGGCCAACGGCCAGCGCACGCCGGAAAACGCGCACCGCAGCCCCGGTACGAGCACGGAGAAGCCTCGGCAGAAACCGGAGGAGACAACACCCGCCCCGTCGGGAGAAACCGCCCTGAAAACAAGCCTCCCTGCAGCCGGGATCATGCTGAACAACAACAACAACGTGGAGGCGAAGCCTAACCCGAGACAGCAGCAGGTGAGGAGCTCACCTGTCCAGGTGGAGACTCGGGTCCAGGAGAGGACTGGAGCTGCCCCGCTGCACAGCACCAAGCTGGGGCAGCAGAGAGCGAGTTCTGGCCCCGGTACCGGCCAGCCGGTCCCTGAACGCCTCACAGGGAGAGCTGA